GCTGAAAGAGGAAGAGAAAAGGGTGAAAGACAGGTCATTTCTTGAAAAATGGTACAGGAAATGTTTGGTCTCAGCAGATAATTTAATTGCATGGTCCAGTCTGTGTCGTTGTTTCAGGCCAAAAGGAAAATAAGGTAAAGGCATTTTTTCCCTCCTATTCAATTTTTGTAATAAATTACATGCATTTATTCTGCAGGGATATATATGTGCAGATCTCATCTTACTGGAAAACTGGAAGCAGCCTTCCTTGATGCATGGCTAAGGTGAGGAAATAGTTAAGAAGTAATTAATGGAATGCAAAAGCTAATAAGACCAAAGTACTTTAATACACACTTGAGCTAGAATCTTCTCTGTGAATAATTAAAATTCTTTAAAGTTCATTTCTGTATTCTTAATAAAGTATACCTCAGTAAGACTCATTCCTGGGTCTGAACCTTTCTAAACTTAACTCATTACCTCCTTTTTTCAACTATTGTTCTAATTGCATTAGTTTAAAGGAGTTTTAAGTAATGTTGTTTATGTTTGTTGGTGTATTAAAAGTAAATTCTACAAGAGGCATATAATTCACAAGTCTTGTATCTAAGAAAAAAATTATTCATTTAGAGCATCACATGAAAGTGTTACGTTATTTCTAATGCCACTTTATATGCTGTGGACCTATATGTATATAACTGTTGTGTTCTCCTCCATCCCAGAGTCTCCGCCTTCAAAATAATGCTTAGTGGAGATGTATGTCACTAATAAAAAAATTCTAGACTTATGTAAGAAAATATTTTAGGGCAGGGATTTCAGTCTTCAAGCTTTAGAATATGTCAACCTTTAATTAAAGTAGATGAGGAAGAAACCTCCCTACTTGATGACTCATTACAAGGGCGTATAACATAGAGTTTTCCCACTCTTTTCAGCTAAGGATTTTTGTGATTGATATTAAAGGGACCACCGGTCTCATGTAACATAGTGATTGTTACATTAGAGAAAGAAAAAAAGAAAGCAGGGGAAATTCCCTTAGTAGAGGCAATAAGGGCCATAAGAACCAAATGGTAGAATTACACTCCGAATGAAAACGTTAACAAGCAAAAAAAATGGTTAATAACCTAAAATGTATCTTCAGGGTTTAAGCTGCAAAGACATCACTTGGAGAGAATGGGGATTTGCAGTTTTCCTTCATGGAAAAGACGATTTAGGATGAAAATATAACTATAGACCTTATAGCTGGTCCCTTTGCATCTTACAAGAGTAGACTGGTAGACCAGTTGCCTGTCTCAACCATAGAATATCATGAAAATATCTTTATTGATACATGAGGAAAGTAAACAATAATAGTAGCCCGTGTTAGAAAAATGCAAGACTACTAAAACCTTTGAGTATTTCAGAAATTCAAAAGGTCACTGAAATAAAAAAAATAGTAGCACATTAAGTGTGTTGGATAAAAAGAGAAAATCCTGGGAGTGTATTTGTAGTGTCAAAGACCAAGTCAACTTTGCACCAATATCTATAACTTTGGTTTCTTTAAATAGCTTTAAGTTGCTTATATCTTTGTGATTAAAAAATGGTGAAAAGAGGAGATACTGTAACTTGACCTATCAAAAGAGAAATAATGGAGAAGTAATGAAATAATTTAAACATCAAGCTGCAAATAATCACAGAAGATTGAGGGTTTTACTCATAGGAAACTGAACTAAATGGCAAAAATGTTATATTTATCACTTTAAAGAAGCTTCAGTGTTGAATGATGACCAGACTCTGTCAGTCTTTTTGAGTAGTGATGATCCCAGGAACCTCAGGGAATAGGAAAGGAGTTTCTGATGAATCAGACTAAGTATTGCTACAGGGTGGACAGACTGCTTCCATGTTCAGCATCTCCAGTGTCTGGAAACCATACGTCAATGGAAAAAGCCTTGGCTGATTTCTCTAATTTTCCAGGATTAGTGGGTTTTTAAGCTAAAAATATGATCTTCTGTAACTTCCATTAGTGTACCAGAAAATGTAGTTCAAGAATAAAACAATTCTTGTAATGACTTTAAATCTTACCTACTTACTTGCATGTTCAACATACATCAAACAGCTACATTAGTGTTTTTGATTTTTATTAAGTATCATAGAATAATACAGAAATAAATGCCAGAATTTCATTTGTTCTGAGACATCACTGTAATTTACTGCCCATGGACAATTAAAAAAGAAGTAGGTACATAAGGACAACCATGAAACCAGTCCAGATTAGTCACAGCTAATCTATTCTTGTAACCCAACAGAGATTTCCAGTTTCAGAGAAAGGAATTTTACTTGTCTTTAAGACTAATTCAAAGTGAATTGAGCATTCATAGAATTTGCATTTAATATAATGCTAGTTTCTTAACTTGTATTAAACTGAGGTTTTTTAACCAAAAATTATGGAAAGGCATAAAATTTATTTTGAGCCAATATATGTTTTTGTAAGAGTTTTCTATTACCTAGTTCTGTCCCACTAGACAGTAACAATCTTGTTTCCTTGGAGTTTTGGTATAGAAATACAAAAGCGACTGCTGAATCACACCAGAAGTACATTTTGTCCATTAGCTGATTTCTGACAGCACCTGGCAAATTAGGGAAAGAGTACAACAACATGACAAATATAGAATATTTTCCATCTTCTTATGATCTCAGTTTGATAGATTTGTTTTTACAAACTTTACCTTATTGTTCTATTTTAGTGACCTTAATAGTCCTCTCTGCAATAAATTTGCCAGTTGTATTTTAATAATACACTAGTGGCATACTGTAGCAATGAGTTAGTTTAAACAACAAAGTTCATTATGAATTATCTGGAAAAAAAAAAAAAAGAATTTCTGGTAAAGTCCTTATTGGAAATGGACTGCCTAACAGTTTAATTTGATATTCCCTAGTTCTTCTGTTGTGAGACACAGTGGAAATTTTTACTTGAGAACATAAACAGTGAACAAATGCACTGCCACTTTTCATCATGTTGAAGAGTCCCAGCCTAATTAATTTCTCTGTCTACAGAGTGGCTCATGTATCTTTGTTCATTCTTGGTCATTCTGGGTACACTTTGTATCTTGAAAGCTCTGCTATGTTTTCATGGAAGTCAGAACAGCATCCAGTATTCAAGAAGCAGCTGTTACACCAGTGACTTACAGTAGCATAAGAATTTTTTTTTGTCCTCTATTATTTACATATCAATTCTGAACATTTAATTTTCTTTTTACTTTTTTCCTTTTGCTACACTTTGAGCTGGCACTAATTGCCTACAGTGTGCCCGCAGCTGCTTTCCTGAAACTTGACTTTAATACCCATCACTGTGTAATTCTTGTCTGCATTTTACTTCATAGTCGTTGACAATGATTTTTTTTCCCAGTCTCATTACTATGAGATCTTTGTACAGTCATATGTTTAACTTTTGTGGTGTCATTCATCTTTGCCATCTCAAAATGCATTCTTTTTTAAGGTCATTTATGAGGCAGTTGAGGCATGGGAATCCACTGACAATTGTCCTCTGTTGTGAAAGCTGGGTTTCTTTTAAAGTTGTTTTCCTATTTCAATTTTTTTTTTTTTTCCCAATGACATGACCTTATATCTTACTGTGCGGGATTACCTTAAAAACTGTTGGTGAGAACTTCGGCACCCCCTTATTTTTTTCCTAAATGGAGGTATTTCCAGCCAGTTTATCTGGCCAGAGATCCATTTCTACTGCTGCTCTAGCTGAGTCCACAGACACATTTCTCTAGAAAGGTTGGTCACTCTGCATGCAGCTTTACTTTGCAATAAAGTACTCATCTTGCTTAGATGAACTTTCATTGCTGCCTCATATCTTTGTGAAGACATGGGACAGCTTCTGAAGTTGGAGGATCAGACCTTACATTTGGTTTGAGTTGTAGGCAGCATGTCAACTTGGCTGCCTTTTTGTTTAGATGTTGCTTCAGCGAGGTTAATAAAATATGTGGGAATTTAATTCTTCAAAATTGGAAATCCTTGTCATTAAGAATGTTGAATAACACTGAGTTCTTCTTCAAGCTCTTTATCATTATTATTTCCTTTAAATGCAATTCAGTAGCCTTGGTTGAGAAACTGGGAGTAATATGGAAGTATTTATTTAACTGTTTTGGTTGCTATTTCTTCACTTCTGTGTTACTTAAACTCAGCCTCGCAAGATTGGTCAGTAAATACTTATTACTGGGATAGGTTTTTAAAAAATATGTCTATCAAAAGTTGTTATCCCAGAATGTTTTGTTTTTTTTTAATATTTCCTGCATTAGCTCTATGGAAACTGGAAATCCCTAGTCTAAACAAGAGGGTTAACAACATAAACATTAGTAGATAAGTACATATCTATATATATACGTATTTTTAAAATGGAGTATAAGCTTCTAAAAGTACTATTACTTAAGGTAAAAACTTCTCTGCTGTAACCAGTAAAATGACTGAAACTACATTTTATAGCTATTAACATATACATAAAATAGAAATTTCATGAAAGGAAACACAACCAGACATTGTCTGTAGTTTCAGTTAAAATTGTTCATATAGTTCTCTCCTGTTTCACTGTTCTGCATTAATACTGATGAGTTATAGCTTCTACCTTCCTCATGGTCCCTTCACACTGAGAGTTTTGCTGTTAAGCACAAGATGACAATGAACAAAGGAGTGTCAAGCAGATCTCTGTTAAAAACAGAAATGAAATTGTTATTTTGTAGAGTTAGTGAGTAAAAAAGTAAGTGAATGAATGCTTCTGATTCTGAAATAAATTCACCTAGAGGCACCTTGTAGTGAAACCAATAATTATGGTATTTAAAACAAATATCTTGATCGTGGTCTCTACTTTTGGATTTTTGCCCCAAAAATGGAAAATCTCCCATGTATAAGGTGTTTAAAGGAATTACTTTGAAGGTTCTTTTACTTCTCAGTCCCATTGTGGTTGCAGACTTGCAAGCCAAATAGGACACAGTCATTTATATAATATGAAGCTAATAATCTTCTGCCCCTACTCTATGTGAAATGTTTGAACTAATAAATGTTTGATGTCTGAAATAATAAATCCTATGATCTCTGCAGTGACCCTGTCAGGTGATTAATGTACATTTCAGACAAGCAAAGTCAAATAAGAAATTTTCTTTGGTTGGGACACCTGTCCCAGAACATGTACCCTACGGCATAGTATTTCTGGAGCTCATCCTATTCATTGTCATGCCCATAAAGAAAGCTCTTTTCCAAATTCCACAGGTCTTACGTATGGCAATAATAATCTAATACATAATGCAGAGAGAGTAGAAAGAAAATCTGTTTCTGGTTTTGCATGCTCTTCAAATGCAAGCCTTTCAAATACTGCAAGATACAAGGCTGTTCTCATTATTGCATTTCTCATGTACCTGCTTTAGCTTTGGTGTCTGGATGTTGTTTGCTCCAACAAAGATGGAGTTCCTCTCCTGAGAACAAGCTTTCTTGTAAGTTTTCTCATGCTTCCTTGTCCTGATTAAAGGATTATTGCTGTGAAAGTTGTTTCTTTTGGTGTTTTCCATCCCTGATTCCCATCCTAATAATAAAAACATGCAATAAAAAAATAAGGAATTGTAAAGCAAATTAGTTGGCTTGTTTCAAATCAGCGTTCAGGCTAGCTTTAGTTTGGAGTGTTGAGTGCTACTTTGGGTTATTTCCAGCAGTATCTGAAATGATTTACATATGGTAAGTATATTAGGAGTCTGATTCTCAGATAAAACTTGGGTACACCTTTTTTCCCTCAGCCTTTACAGAAAGGTTTTCAAACAGTGGAGATTACTCTTCCCTGAAACACGTCTGAGATGTGACCAGCACCATACACACACACTGTACTGCTTCCTTCTATGAATTTCTTCTTATTTCAAAGATCTAAAATATAAAAAATGCAGTTCTATTTTCTTTCTGTGGCTTTCTATGACTCCTTTCTTTTTTCCCTTTTTCTTTACACTGGGTCTTGGTTTGTTGCAGGTTACAGTGTTGCATAGGGTTCATAATCTGTAAACCCTTCTGAGCTATTTTATTGTGCAGTTGCCTTTGTGTGTGAAGGGAGGGACTCAGAGAAGTAGACAGTGCCCTGAAATCCTGTTCCTAGATCTCTGTGAAAAATACTGTGGGTCCACAGAGTAGTAATTTATATTACCAGTTAAACACCACACAGACGATAATACATCCCTAATTTTCTCTGCTCTGGAAATCTGAAGGATTTACTGCATGTGTGTATGCATAAGTAATGGCAACATTAGGCACTAGTAGGCAGAATTCTTATTTCAGGTGCAAGTGCTCTGAAACAGCTTGCACTGTATGGGTGAAATTCTGTAGTGCCAAACTTACTGGTAAAATATAAGAGGGAAGCATAACATAGGGGAAATTTGTTTTGTTCATCTACCCATAGGGCTGCAGTATAAGGTCTTGTTCTTGGTGTATGCCTAGTTTACCTGTTTATCCAAATCAGAAGTTGTCTAGGTACATGGGAAATTGACAAAAAAGCATTTCTGGTCTGTGGTTTGATACAGGTTGGAGCACATCTTGTGTGTCTGAAATAAAGTTAGGATTGTATTAATTAGTACCACTCCTTCTGATGTAGAACAGTTTCCAAAGGCAAAGAAACAAGGAAAGACAAGGAAAATGTATGTAATTGAGTTCCAGCAGGCCTGCAGTGAACTTCATTTAATTTTGTCATTTTTACATTTCTCAAACCTTTAGGGCTCCGGAATCAGAAAAGGGAAGCATTGTGACCATGTGAAGATTCCTGCTCAACTGTGCTTAGCAGAAGTGTAGAGGAGTATAGCAAAACCCAAGTACAGTATATGATCCTTTTCTTCTGCAGAGCTGGATATGGTTTAAGTGTGGCTTTGCTAAAACAGAAATAAAAAAAACCTAGAGATTTCTTGATTTGCTTCTTTAAATGCTGATACTTCATTCTTTCACACAAGAAGCCACTAAGTCATCATCATATAAGAAAATGGCATTTTTAGGATGCATGTCTTCTTGTATGACCAATTCCTAGAATTTATCAGATGAACCATCCTGCAGATCTGCCTATTTCATTCTTTTGAATAAAAAGAGGTGACCAATATGAAGGTCTATATTTTACCATCTAAGGTAGAAGGGATGGATACTGCCCATTGCAATTGAATAACTAAGGAAGATTTAAGGAGAAAGAACTACAGCTGCAGTGTCTCTTAACTACCTACTGTGTTTATCTGCCCAGTCAGAAGGTAGGTGAAGTGTGATATGTTGTTAGTTTTTTCTGTTTTCCCTTTAGGGAAGAGAAAGCAACTAGAGAAATAGTGTAAGAGAGTAGCCAAAAGCTGTAAAATAAGGTGTGTGTGTATATATATATATATAAAATAATGTGTGTGTATATATATAAGGGGTGTGTATATATAAGGGGTGTATGTATATATACTACATATATATAAAATAAGGTGTATATATATGTAGTAGGTTGAGACTGTTTTGTTGGAGTTTTTTTGTGGGTTTTTAAATTGTTTTATTTTTAGGAGTACAATTTGCTTAGCAAAAACAATATAATATGCTGGTTTTGGCAAGCCTCTCTTAATGTCACACTCTCATCCTTTGCCTTTCTTTTACATCCCCCCCTCTCTTTCTTCCTTTGCTAATGTATAAACCACCTGCGCAACTCCTGACTAAGTTTCTCTTAGAGGAGAATCCAGTGTTTGGTTAAGTCACGGGAGACGTGGGGATTTGTGCAGTCCTCTCTCTTACGCGCTGCGGAAGTGATGACAGAATAGTCCCGACAGTCACTAGAGAAACTGACATATCACACCCAATTATGTGGCCTCCCTGGCCCCTCGCACCATTCTTCCCTGAAATATAAGCTTTCTGTCTCACGCTCTTTTTTATTTCTTAAAGAAATTTGTTATTTAAAATAAAAGGAAAAGTAGTGTGTGTGGGGGAAGGAGTTAGTGTATCATTCCTAAAGAAAACTATTATAAAAATAGTCTTCAGGGACATTAAATATATCAGATTAAACATAAATTACGCATTTGGAAATTTTTTTTAAACCTCACACAGGAAAAAACACCAAATTTAAACTGATGGTAATAGAGGAATCAAGCCTTGTCATTTACTGTGACACTGCCCATCAGTTGTCTTGATCTATTGGGAGTTATTTGTCAGTAATTACAAAGTACATATATATACACTAATCTATATCTGCTCAGTATCCCACACAGCATTTAGTCAGCTGTAAAAAAAAGCAGATTATTTTTCATGTTAGTTCCATAGATGCTATCAAATACAACCATGTTTTTAGGTTTTTATTCCTTGAAGGGTCCAGCCCTTGAAAGTGAGATTGTGTGAGTGTCACAGCTTCCTTCCCCTTGTACTACAATGGCTGATACACAGAAGAAAAAAAGCAAAGCTGAGTCTCAACCATTTGACTGTATTTGTAAAAAGAGGAGTAATTAAAAATACATGTTGCTCTTGTAATGAGGTGCATTCGTCCTCCAATTGGTTTCCAGGTTATAGATATGGAGCACTGATTACCAATTTTATAAAACTACCTGAGCAGAAACTCTCCTGAACTTGCACAGAAAACTTTTGTATTACTAAATCAGCTGTAACTAAAGTTTTTCTCTAATAGCTAGTACTTAAGGTGCACAAAGGACTATGGGTTTCTTTTCTGTTCATTGCTAAGTTGGTTTCCCTTCTTTAAGTTTTGACAGCTATCCTAAGACAGCAGGAATACAACATTCACAGTGTAATTATTTGGCAATAACATACACATCTTTGCTGTGAACCGCATAATAAGAACTTGAGAAGTTTCCAAGCAACAAAGACTTTTCTGCTACTCTTTCCATTTTGAGACAGGGAATATCCAAAATATACAGAATAGTGAAAGAGGGGAAAGGCCAAGCCCAAGAACATGGAAAATGAGTGGTTACAGACATCACATGGGAAAACAAACTAAGAAGTAAGGAATGCATGGTACAGGAGTTACACTGTATGCACATTTTCTGGCTTTCAGTTTTTCAGCTATAGAAGTAAAAAATGATGGAACAGCAGTGAACTGTCTTCCCAGGAGATCTTGGGAGGTGCGCCCCCCCATCCCCTCTGCTAAGGCTCAACCAGGAGCTGACAGAAGGAACCAGCATTCTCTCCTGGCTCCCATAGCACTCCAAGGGAAGCTCACACTATCTCAGCACCCTGGTGTCCTGAGGAGCCACCTTACAACCCCAAACTCCTCCTTTTCTTCCTTTTCAATCTTTGTTGATTTGAAACAGAGAGAAACAGATTCGTGCTCCTCCAATAAGCGATGCAAAATCAGGTGGAGTGTGGTACCAACTTCTTTTTGACTTCAGCTCTTTGACAGAAGTTCTGGGTCCAGTGCCACAAACCTTTGCATCTTTCTCTAGTGACTGCCACCAGCACTTGTTTCTCCTCCCTCCACCCTTGATTGCCTTTCCGCATATCACAAACATTGTCATTTTAAAACATCTGACTTGAGAAGTTTTACAGTCCCTTTAACACTCAGACAGTTAAAATACAAAAGGTGCCATGTGCCTTGCAGAAAATGACAATGTATTTGTTGTCATCTGCTTGAGCAAGATATCTTCATCTAGTTGAAATTCCAGGAAAACCTCAGAAATTCTACATGGTCTGGAAGCCCTGCACACATAGCAATTGCTAATAGAGAGCAAATTTCAAACCTGTGAGCCATGTTGGATGTGGTATCAATCAGATTCATCATAGTTGTAGAGCCAGCTCCTCTCTTCTTCAGAGATGACTGTCAAGTATCATTAAATATCCTTCATGCCTGAACAGAGAGGGTGCAAATTTTTAGTGAAGGTGCTGTGAATCTAACATGTGAATCAGTCTTGACCTGAAGCTATTTGGCCTCCTGCTGATGGCAGTTGTGCCAGCTCCTCCCTTCTCCCTCTGCACTAGGTGCGCTGATTCACCCAGTCAGTCTACCTGGACCTAGCACAGAAGATGGACCATGAAGAATAACCTCCTATTGTAAAGAAAGTGACTGAAGCCATTCCCCAGTCCACTGTAGGTTCAAGCTGAGTCTATAATACAAGCCCATGAGAAATAATCAGGTGAGAATTTATTTTGTGTCTTTCTCTATGTAAAAGCAGGGGAGAAAATATTAATGTTTTCTAAATTAACCATTTATTATGTATGGCTATAAAGTATATGTTTATTTCCAAAACTTTGGTTAAATCAGTGGTTTTAGTCATGAGATGCTAACACTGATGCATGTTTGGAAGCTGAATACTGAATACTGAGGCACAATTAAATCCTTATTCATACCCATTAGTCTACTTCTGTATGAATAATGGTATTGACTCAGTCTTTTATTAGTACAGGACTACTTACCATATGGAAGGATCTATTTAGTGTGGAGATCCAGTAGATACCATACTATTTTTTTAGTACTGTAGGTTATTATCAACTGCTTTTTAACAGGAGTCCTTTTAAAATCCTTTACATTTGCGTGGTTGTCAAGTTCACAGAGGCACATTGTACTCTCTGGGATAGTTAGAAAGACAGAAATATTTTCTGAAC